TTGGTGAGAAGGAATTTTAGATCATTCATATTTATAATAAAAAATCACTAAATTAGTCTTAATTCTGGAATGTAAAAAAAACACTAGTTTTTCAGGATAATTTGGTATCTGAATTCTTCTGGCTCCTTCACAAGTGGTTACAGAAATACAGAATACAGAAATTTTTATTGTCCAAAAAAACAGAGAATAATATTTTTGCCAAAGCTGAATATAGCAAAAACTATTTGGCCAATGAAGAATACATATATGCACTATGACCCTTCAGTTGGGTGTCTTAGAAAGTGGTAGAAAGCAATTATTTTAAGTTTTACAGGTGATGAAATTTTAATTTTTAATTTTCAATCTTCAGTCCACGTGTAAAATGAATAGACTACAATAACAATATGATTTCTTATATATGAAGACTGAGAAATGAAATATTCCTAAATTTAATCTGATACTCTTAAAACATTTAAAAAATTATTTAATATAATTTGAGAAAGTATTCTTGCCAAGTAATAGAGTAATAAACGGTTTATGAAGAATAAATCTTACCAATATGAGGGAAGCTTGAGCGGTTGCTTTGGGTTTTGAAAAACTTTGATCCCAGTTAATATATGGGATATCATCAACATTTTCCTTAGCTACAAGGTCACTGATACTTGGCTTAAAAATATCAAAAACTTCACTCTGAAAAAAACCCCAAAAAACAAAAAACAAGAGATATTAGTAAATTAATTAGTATTGTTTGAGATGCAAATCATAAAAAGTTCACACAGGCCAAAATAGGTAATTTTTTTCCTGGGCCAGAATAGATGGTACAGAGGGCCATTTTTTTCCTGGGCCAGAATAGATGGTACAGAGGGCCATTTTTTTCCTGGGCCAGAATAGATGGTACAGAGGGCCATTTTTTTCCTGGGCCAGAATAGATGGTACAGAGGGCCAAAATAACTGGCAGAATCTATCAAGATGTTTTAAATATGTTGTACGGCTGTAGATGGTGCTACAGTGTCACAAGTGATTGAAGAAATCATATAATAAATAATTTCAAATATTACGGTAGACTATGTTATTGTGTGCTACTGCAAATATGGCGAGTCGATTGGTGGTTAAGGTAGGGGAAACGTGACATACAGCCGTAATATCGGCGCTGGTTTGAACAACACACTCGCCTATGGTTCCGGTGGTGGAACAAGTCTTCTTGGATAAGGACTCTAAACCATAGGTCCTGTGTACACATTTGACTTGCGTGCACTTTAAATAACCCAGTACATCATTTGAGAAGAGTAGGGGGTTACCCCGGTGTACTGGTCCATTTCCAGTCCAGCCATAGAAGGAGCGTTTACATCGTGGCCCATGTCAGGTATCCATCCTACCTGCGAATTATTCTACCACACTATGTAAGCTAGATCATACACACTAGCTACGTAGTGACTCGATAAGAAGAAGACTGCAAAAATAGTCAATAAAAGCCAATACGATTTTTTTCCTTGTGACTATGATGAGTCATGTGATACAAAAACACATGTTGTGGCCACAACAAATGAATATGAATGTATAAGACGCTGTCACGACAAATCACATCACAGTTTTCAACCATATTACAACTGTATATGCTACTACCACTCGGAAAAGCAAGATATTTTAAAGATTTAAAACAATCATGATTCTCTACGATGGCACATCGATCCAGTATGGTATGCTATGCAGGCTACAAACATGTGCACAACATAGTGACTGTAATTATTTTCTTAAATCATGCTGTACCGTAGCAAAAATCGTGTACGTGCAAAATAAAATTAATTGACATGAAAAAACATGAAAAAGTGTGTTTTATACAAACTTCTTTTCGTTCTTCTATAGCAACAAAGCTGGTGAACTGTGTCACGATGGAATATTCTTTGCTGAGATCAATGATATAAGATTTTTGTGCATCCTTCTTGATGTCATGCTCGACTGGGTCGACATCAAGAGTGCCGTCCTCCCAATCACGAATAATTGCTCTAGCGGTCAGTTGATGGAGGATCTAAAACAGGATTCGCACAAAAAAAATACAAAAAAAAAAAAAATTGAAGTGTCAGGTCTAAATTTGTCATTTGGTGTCCACATATCACACTGTTAAAAAATGTTTACATTTTTATGAAGATGAAAATGGATCAGGATAATTTTATGACATAAATATGAAATTTGTTTGTCTGTGTAAACAAAATTAGGTACAAAAAAGAACAGCATACAAAACAAGGAGCTTGCATAAACAGAATAAGGTAACTACAGAGTGCAATATAAAATCTCACCTTTCCTTCTGTTACATTCAGTTCGTGGGTAGATACCATTGTGGATATTTCATCACCATTAATTTCAGCCCTCAAAGTCGCCTTAGTACATAAGAATATATAATCAATCAATTATAGTATATGCAAATTGTTAGTATGTTTTGTTTTATCTGTACAAAAATATTTTAATATAAATATATTCATGTATGAAAAACAGACATGCATTTATGCACTTGTTTATTTGGAGCTTATTTTTCATTGCGTTGTGTGCACTGCCTGCATATATGAAACAGGTGTTACAGCACTCCACTTAAAAAATTAGTAAATAAATAATGTTAAATAATGACATGGCTTACCTGTCTGCAGAATGGAACATACCCATACACTACTTGACGTGACCCGCTGAATAAGGATGTAACCTGTCCTGGAGCTTGGATGGGTTTGGGGGCATTATCATCAAACTGTTGCCAGTTCACCCTCACATTGCTCAATGCAGGTTGTCTTGCTTTTAATAACTGACCCTTGACCTATTAGATTTACGACATTTCAAAAAGTCTGATAGTAAAATAATCAATGAAATAAATATTTTTTTACCATAAAACATATGAATTCATCGTATTTTGAAATAAGGTAATATTTCATTTCTTACTTTTCTTTCCCATTTTGACTTTGTTGATGTATCAAAGAATTCAAAGGCGCCTGTTCCAACACGAGCTATCGCCCTCAACAAGTGTTTGTTGGCGGTTTTGCTAAAAAGTACATTTATTTATAGTCATTTTAATGTTATGATATTAGTAAAAATCTACAATCACTTAAAAAATCATTTATAAAAATTTACCATTTTATATTTATGGGTTATTTTCAATGACCTTTCAGGTACACGACATGCATGGGTGAGCTATGCAGTTGTAAAGCCCCCAACATCAGGGCTTAGAGGCAGCTGGGGACCAAAGTGGGGTCAAATGGCAAGTTGCAAATGGTTTAGGAGTAAATATCTTAGAAGTTTCTACCTTAGTGGTCTAATATCAACCATTATAGGGTACAGCAAATAGATGACGATTTTTATCACTCATTTATTTTGTTTTGTATTGTGAGCACAATGGATTTAAAAAAGTGGGCGTGCCTGTCCCTGTTCCCCAAAAAAGAGTACATTATAGTCTTTAGATTGTAATTTTGAGCATTTTCATGAAAAAAAAAAACCCAACTTTTTCATCAGTCTGTTGTTTTTACAGGTCCGGGCCCATGTAGGGGCTATAGTAGGTCCCTGGTACTTTACTTCCTTTGGCTTCCCCTACCTCCCAACATAATCAACACTCTGAGCATGTATATATGTTACTACATTTGGCCTCAATGTAAATTTCTTCTATTTCCACAACAGTTCTTTGAGAAGTGAATGCCCCATGAGCGTTCCCTCAGAACTGTTGTTTTCCCTATTTTTTTCTCCCATTGACCAACTTACCTTATCCCAAATGTGAAAACTCTGTTGTTTTTAGCATTGAGTTGAATGGAATTAAGAGTTGATTCCTCATTGTTGATGTGGCCGTCGGATATCAGGAAGATATTACGCAAACAATTTGTATCACTCAGCAAGAAGTAAGCATGCAGAGGGCGCCACACTTCAGTGTTCCCCATTTTGGCTTGGACATTACGAATAAACGTCTTAGCAACAGAAATATTGGCGTTGGTCACTGGTTGACTGGCAGGGAACAGTTCGTCAAAATCTTGGAAAAAAATTTATAGAACCAGACATTTTGAAAATTACGTTGTAAAAGATTTTTAAAAAACATTAGGAAGCAAACAACATGGCTTACAATATATTAAAAATAATGATAAAAGAATGTTAACAATGATTATGTTGCTGCTGCTGCAGATACTAATGTTGCTGTAGCAGCTGCTACAAATGCTGCTTTAGCTGCTACTGACTTTACTGTAGCTGTTGCTGCTGTTGTTTTTTGCTGCTGCTGATGATGTATCTACTGCTACTGATGCTGTTGTAGCTGTTGCTGCTGCATAGGATGTAGCTGCTGCCACTGATTTTGTTGTAGCTGCTGCTGCTTCTGTTGTAGCTGCTGCTGCTGCTTCAATAGCTGCTGCTGCTGTTCTTGCTGCTGATAATGATGCTGTATCTGCTGCTGCTGCTGCTACTGATGCTGTTGTAGCTGTTGCTGCTGCCACTGTTTTTGTTGTAGCTGTTGCTGCTTCTGTTGTAGCTGCTGCTGCTGTTGTTGTTGCTGCTGATGACGACGCTGTATCCGCTGCTGCTGCTGTTACTAATGCTATTGTAGTTGTGCTGCTTCTGTTGTAAAGTAGCTGCTGCTGCTGTTGCTAATGATGCATGCAGCTGCTGCTGTGTTAGCTGTTGTTGTCAGTGGTTTTATCTAGATGTCTTGAAGTGGGGGTGCTCATGGGGGGTGCGAAGGTGAAGTGGATGGCT